TGATAGAGAAAATTCCGCTTGTAACTCGATTCAATAGGTCACAACACAGATACCTAACCAACCCATCCCAAGTAAACCTAAGCTGTTTATATATTAGCATATTAACAGCTATTCTGTATAATCATACGACATGGAGAAAAAAAAGAAAAAAAAGAGGGAAAAAACCGAGGAAAAGAAACCGACCAAATCAGCGCCCCAAATCAACCACTGCATACGTTCCGCACTCCTACCCCACTATTCCTACTTGGAGCGGTACTCTATCGGGCCGCGGGACTACCAGCTACGTATTTCATACTACGATCAATATTAGATTATTAGAATATTTAGGGTTAGGTATCCCGGGCCGATCCTCCTACCTTGACTATTACTTGGTTTGGTTACTTGATTGGCTCATCTCATAATCTTTATAGAATTCCTAATATTTGAGTTGATTAACTGACTTAATCTCCAAGTACTTATAAGCCTTCCGGTAACGGTAGTGCTATTCTTGATGTTTCTTCTAAAATCGTTAACCAACAAAACCTACTCTTTGGCTGATCAACTCTAGCAAACTAAACCAATACCGCGCAGTTCCCTCACCACAAGTTTGTTCTTCATTTTTACCAACTAGACCGGGCACAATAAACAGAACAGGACGCGACGATACCAAAACCCCTCTAAACGCGGTGCAAAAACACCAAAGTACTAGCTAGCAAACCGCGACTCCAAGTCATAAGAACCAGCTATGAGTTCGCCGGCGCCGGAAGTTCTCTAGGTATGAAAGCGACTAAAACCGGATCTTAATCAGAGTATACACTGCCATTTCGGCATCTCACTACTTACTAGAGTATCAGAAATGGGGGTATAACTGATACCGCATCGTACGGCATTGCGATAATATGCCGATTCATTATTTTAACGAAGTATGCGATACTAGTATTACCGCAGTTCTATGGCATTTCTAAAGACTGCGGTCCATGTTCCTGTCACTGTAATTACTATGCGAACCAATAGCGTCCAACAAACAATTCCACCCCAAACACAGAATCACCACAAATCACTCGCCCATCCATCAACCCATCACCGCCATATCTACCCACCTACACAACCGCAACGCCCAATTCATCCGCCACGGATTCAAACACTTCCACCAAAGCGCCCTCCAAACCGGGCCGCACCTTATCACCATGCTGCACGCGGGGCACGGGCACAATTGCGATTTATCATCTACTCTACTCAACTCTCCTCTAGCTTAGATAAGATAAGATAATAAGATCGATTAGTCAGTAGCCCAGCCCCACTAGTTCCCCCTAATAAAATCCCCGTAGTAACTAACCTTACTAACCCCAAAGCAGCCACAAACAAATAAATAACCCACTAACACAGCCTCTAACCACAACACGCTAGCTAGCAAAAACAAGCATCGTGGGCCCTGACATTGACGATGGCTGAGTGAGTGATGCACTATGACCGAGGCGAACGAGTACCTACATTAGTAGGTACATACGTCCAGCCAGCCAGCCAGCCAGTCAGCCAGGTAAGGTACATACATGGCACATCCGGGCTCCCGCGGATCCGACGTATGTACACATGTAGGTACACCCATCCTGCAGCAGCAGAACCTAGCACATGATGCACACAGCACCACCCCCCAGGCCTTCGCCGAAAAAAAACCACCACCACCACACCACCACCACCAACAAACCCCCCCTTTTCAACGACCGAACGATGGCCCTGGCTTCCTACAAGGTTGATTACAATTGATTACAGAGCGAGGATAAGGAGTAGTAGTAGGATGGTGAGGATAGGACGGCAGTAAGGCAGGATTTCTCGGTTATTTCGCACTAGTGGAAAAAGAACGAGACATGGTCCAGAGGAAAGCCTGACAGATCATGATCAATCCTGCTTCATTTATCGTACATATGTAACTGCCTACCACCGATCCCCCTCAGTCACACTGCTGCCGCCACCGTTGCGGTGAAAACCGGCGGGTACAAGAAATCAATTGGTACAAAAAAATCAATTGGTGTATCCATGCCATGACGAAACTCTGGCATGTTCTACCAGATCAATGTTGTACACAATGTAATTTTGAAATGATAAGGTAAAAGATAAAGCCAGATGACGCGACACGAAGTGCCGGTCCTCCCCTTCCTCCCCCCGTATCTCTATTATGACTACAAGGCTCCACAAACAGGAACAGGTATGTACATACGCCCCAAAGGACTCTAGGAAGGGGGAACAGAGCAAAAGGAAGAAACTTTTGCTGCAAACAATCTCGGAGATACCTCGCGGTGAAAGTTCTATTTTTTCCCGCAATTCCTGAAACGATACGGCGGGATTCACTTCCACCCAGGGGCCTCTCTGCGCACCAAATATACATATGAGTGAATGGGCGCTGGACTGCTCTGAACACGCGACTGGGTTGTTACCTATGCGTATGCGCATATGTGAGAATGGCGGTTTGGTTCGAAACTAGCCTAGGTAGAGCGAGATCGAATCTCGGAAATTAAAGAAAAAAAAAATTGAGGATCCTGAATACCGCCTCGGTCCGTCCACCCCTTCTCCGATGTTGCTGAGATCTCATTAAGCTATGTACCAACACCTCCACTGCCACGACTGCCAGCGCATTGGCAAAAGCAATAATGAAATCCGGTATTGTGTATTACTAGGCGCTTCCTTCTTTTCTTTTCCTCTGTCAACAAGTCAGGAGGATACTGTCGCCATAACCAGCACGCGTTAATTCCACGCATTGACAATCGTGAGTCAAATGGTAGGTAGCGCATCAATAGTAAAAGTTAAGGCAAGAAAGAAAGCCTTAATCAGGTAGGATTTTCGGCGTTATTGACAAGAGAGAAAAAAAATTCTCTTATCTACCTCGGATGAAACAATTACACTCTGATCAACTGATGTTTCATCTTAAGTGAACTCATCAGCTGGCTAAGCAGGCGGATATTTTTCCCCAACCTCCCCCGCGTGGATAGAATACTCTAGAAGCGGATATTGGATTCTTGAACCCGCAATCTTAGCCTTACTTCCGCCTTAAAAGTGTTAAAAGTGGTGCGCGGACGATTCCAACTAGTAGAACGGTTTAAATGGACAGCCCCATGTTTGGAGATAGGAACATCTGGGGTTGCACATGTACATGTACTTATGGCTATACTATCCTTTTTGCGTTAGAACAGGTAGGAGAGAGAGGAAAAGCAAAACAAAAGAATGATGGGAAAGGAAAGAATAGCATTGCTACCTGGAGATCTTTAAACAGCATCATCTACTGTGAATAGGACCCATGTAGAGAGTCCAGACCGGAGACGATATCAACAGTTTTTTTTCCTGATCCTTTTTTTTTCCGGACGTGACACGACCAACGAATGATTGGGGCCGCACTGTTTCATTTCCCCTGAGCATCTTAGAGGACTTTTTCTCTCATAGCCTCGTCGAGAGAGGCCGAGGGGGGTGTGTGTGCGATGCGTAGCTTAGCTACATACATCCTAGATGCGGTAAAGTTTATGATCTTTATCACAGGCAACCACCAGCAAGAGGTCATGTGTTATTCGTGTTATTCGTAACGCGCAGATCAGTATCAGGTACCAGGGAATTAAAATTCCCGCTATCGATATCTTGGGTAGCGGAAACCTATTCCAATACGGGAACTAGTATGTGCGTATTTTTATTCTTTTCTTCAGAAGCCCAAACTCTTGATGGCGCCTGTACAAGGGGCATAAGCAATTGCAATTGTGGTCTTGTTTCAATGCAATTGTCAACCACTACGCCGCACTACCGTACCACCACAGCACTATCTAGTCGCATCTGACTAACGGTCAACAATGGACAAAGCTCTGTCAATTCCAGCAACAAACTTGAACCGAGGCCGCATAATGAATACGATAGGATAGGGGAGAAGCGGATCTCAACTTCCTGCAAGTTTCTAAGTGGCGGATTGTGTTGCTTTTGGAGATATACCGAAAACAATAAGCTGTCAAAGGTCCTTCACGAGGCCGATGAGCTAGCCCCTAACTCACTCAGGGTTTCGAATTTCATACGCTATGGATGACTGCATGGATGTTCTTGCGGAGAAACCACTACTACTCGTAACTTCCTGACGTTTTTGAACGCGACTGATATTGCATACCATACAAAAATACGCCAAGATCCTGATTTTGGGTGTATGCAATAGTGGCCCAGTCCAAAAACGCCAGGAGACTACGAGTAGTGCGATGCGACGCCGCGCCATGCAAAGGACTGACAGCGCTCCGTGGTTTGCTCTCAAGCTTCTCCTGTGCCTGTGCTGTGGTACTCCTGGCCCTGTCAATCCTGTCGAGAGATGATATTATGCAACTACCGTAGAAAATGTCAGTTGAGCATCGCTGCCCATCCCATCTGCTATTTTTTTTTACCGGGCTCGGTTGTAGCCTAAAATTCAATGGTGTGGTTATTCTAATGCTCGTCGTCATGCGTCAAATGTGGCTTTTGAAACGCGGCGTGATCAGACGCGATGCTCTTCCCCAAACAAGATAATACTGTTTTATGTCACGAAGAGCCTTAGAACTTACTGAGTGATTCTTCGCAATTTCCCATCGATGCGTTGTCAGTTGTTCGCGTCTACTGCCATGGACGTTTGATCCCATGTGAGCGCACACCAATCAGTTTCAACGACCTATTTTAGTATTCCAGGCAGCTGATTCGATTGTACAGCGACGTATATAAGCCTATACCAAAGTCACTGGTTCTTTGCTTTCTCATCGATCCCACACACATTACTCCACCACAGTCGATCGTCCATCTTCCAAAAAAAAGAGCTGTGCTCCGAAAGTCTTATCTATACTTCAGTCAATCCTTAACCTGTTCCGCTTGATCTCCCAATCATCTGCTTGTCGTTGTCGTTGTTTTGAAAGCAAAAAACCTTCTACTTTTCAATATATCCAAGGCTCCGGAGGTTCAATTTGCCCACCAGTTCCTCATTCCCTCATTCATCCGTTACCTTCTCCAAAACTATTCTTATCTTCCAACGCATCTATCCGATGTCTCCCATTCAGGCCCCCGTCGAGAGCAACTCCGCCCCCCAATCATTGCAAACCCAGGACGGCAGCCGACAACCAGCCCATTCCCCTTCGACCATGCCCCCTCCAAAACCCATCCGCGAAGGTCACCCGAACCCGCAGTCCATGACCAACCACGAAGCTAGCAGAGCCGGGTGCTTGCCCAGCAGTGGCTCTCAATCTGCCCCATGGACACCCGCACCAACTACGTCAGATGTGCACAACCGTCAGAGCCGTTCCAACTCTGAGTGTAGCATGTATTCCACCTCTTCGTCACTGGCATCGCCGCGCCATCAATCGGGCAGGTTTCAATATGAAGAGGTGATGAACCGCTATTTCACGGTCAATCCCGAAGAGAGCCCGCTGGCATACGCAGCCAGAGATGCAATCGCTCATGGTGTTGTCCAAATTGGGGAGAATATGTTTGCCAGAAAGTGTGAGGAGGAGGGTTGGTGTGTGTCGAACCGGAACGGAAGTGATAGTTCAAGGACTTTGGGAAGGTCTGAGGAGGAGAAGAACTAGGAGCTCGTCGGCGCAGATGATGAAGAGTTGATTTTAAGGAAGAACCATGGAATCATAAGGAACAACTGGAAGAAAATTGTCAGTGGGTGAGCCAAGCTTAAGAGTGGGGGTTATTTCTTATAGGTATGTAGTGACGTGGGGTACTTTGGGGCGTGGGGTAGTTGGGGGTAATTGGGGGTAATGGTCATGTTTTTTCTTTGTGATAGGCTTTAAATGGATGTTAGAGGGAATGATGATAATGGGTAATAGTAATTGGAGGGCGAACTTTAGTAGTTTTGGTTGATGTCTACTTTAGTCAGTTCAAATAATATTTTGTACGACAGCAATGTTTGAAACTACGTATGTTAGCAATGGAAAATCCTTATGATAAGTGCTTAAAAACTGACACTCATATATATATATATATATATATAACGTTCTACGAAAAATACCCGGGAGAAATTTCTTCAACCGTCGGGTATTATCGTGTGCTCAAATGTCGGTAGATCGCTTTTTGTTGCGACAAGCCTTAGTTCGCCAATTAGAGTTTGTGTATCTCAGAGCTGTTGAACCACACTCAATTAGTTCCATCCAATGACAGAATCGCGGCCGCATCACGATATTCAGCCTTTGGTTCATAACAAATGGACTAGTAATGATCCATCAAAAGACCCGACCAGAGACATTCGATACTATTTGCTTCTGGAATACGTTAGCAATCTCAAAGCGAAGGCCAAAGGCAAGGTGTCCATACCTCCGGGTAAATGAAAAATCTCCCCCTTATGAAATTTCTTATAAAACTGATGCATGACATTAATAGGAGATACTAATAAGGAGAACATTACAACCGTGTCATCTGTACCGCAATCCACCATCGTACTCAATTTCAAATTAGAGTTTGTTATCTCAACTTTCACATCCCACGAATGACTGCGCTGAAGAAGCTGCGTTATTAATTCCATTGGCCACTCATAAAGCATGGGGGTTCACGGTCGGTTTGAAAAAATGCACTTAGCTTTTTTGCACATAAAATTTCTCCGCCACATTGGACCACAAGGCTGGCAGCCCATACACTTAATTATTATTAAGAGTTGTCAAAGCCCTCCACGCCTACCCCCACCATTGGGGTGTCATCGAACGAACCCGACATGTTGGGTTAGGAATACCCCACTAAGATAAACCCTTCCAGAACAAACGCAAAACCGCACCTTATTCCGTTTGTTGCACCAACCAACCCAGCTCTAGCACCTCCCTACCTACTTTAGTTGTCTTTATATATCCCTGGCCTGACTCCCACCTCCCTGTTCCTGAAGAACTGCCGACACCAACCATATCCATACAGGGATCTACTTCTTCTACTCCAAACCGCAGCTCTCCCAGCGAGGTTTCATCACCAGAGCAATAATACGGCTACACATACCCTCAAGGAAGTACCAGTGAACCTCCGTGAGGATAGTGGTGATATGATGTAAAGTATGTATGTACCGTCGATCCGCATCTTAACCTTAAGCAGACTCCCGAGTACCGGGATGGCCATCGGACTGAGACATATTCGATTTCGCGGGAACCATTCCCCGACGAAAAGAAAATCTTTAGAGTCGATCGACTGAGTGAGAGTGCTCAAAGAGGTACTTGTAGACGGACGGCCCCTCTGTGATATGATGTAATGGGTGGTCGGTTTTCTAACCCCTGGGATCCGTGTTTCCGCTGCGGAGGCAGATATCACGCCATGAAGCTTGCGTGAATGTGATATAGATTAATGGATTACGGGGTCGTAACTGACTTCTCCAATAAGTTCTGCTTGGGGTCCAATGGATGCTGGACCTCCGTTTGACCTAGATGAATAAAGAGCCAATCACGGCAGTTTTACACCCCCCCCCCCCCCCCCCCCCCGGCGTCCATACTCCAATTCGTCCCTGGGCCTGAAATGGCATGTTTTTACAAATTTATCAGTTTTAGTTACCTCCGAAGACTCCAAATTGGCTGGCCACGAGGCACCAGTGGAGTAGTATTGAGAGCCGATATGGCCCTTGAATTTACCAGTCAGGATAACCTTATCAAGCTTCCAGACTTTACCCCTCCTGTGGTAGTTATCAGCGCATTTACGCGGGCAGAGCCAGCTCCATTTCCCGTAGCTTGATTGCTACCTATCCTTCCATCCGCCTTTCATATTATAACCATAACCCAGAGTTAGAGTCTTTCGCGAAAAACTTTATTCGCGAGTCAGATGTAGCAGAGCAACCAGATGGCCGACTATGAAGTGCCGGAGACTGTTTTTGAATATTTCCATTGATGCCTAGATATACCGGCTGCATAAAATCTACACACCGTTAGCATCAAGATCCATCAGCATCAGGGAGATTTACAAACCACGTGGTTCATTTTTGGGTGATGTTATTCCGGGTGATATTTCGAGCTTCGGTATGCCGCGGGCTACGAGACATCGGGCCGGTGAAGTTATATTGGAAGTTGATATTGCCGGCTTGAGTTGATGTTGTCTCCTCGCGGCCAGCGTCGCCACGTCGAGCCAAATTAAGGGTCGAGCCAAATTAAGGACACCTTTTCCACACGGGGGTATATATCAGCTGCAGCCTACCAAACCCACAAACCTCCCCTCTCTCTCACTCCCGCAGCAATTGTTATCGAGTTGGGCGTATCAAGAGAAATAGCTAGATAACGGGCTGGGAGGCACCGGCGATTCATTCTTTCTATAACGATCCCTGGACTCTAAAATCAAGCCGTTAAATAATGCCAAGGGTTCAAAAACCAAGCTGTTCAAAACCAGGCCGTTCAAAACCAGGCCGTTAGAAGACCAAGCCCTTTAAAACTAGGCCGTCCGAGGGTCGAACCGTTGAAAACATCCCCAGGATGTTCGCACTCAAGGAATCTATCTGCACACCGTTATATCAGCATAACACCTCTCATCATAACTTTATAGATACTTACCACAAATAACAAACCTCAACCAAGACCACTCCTTTCCTTTCCTTACCTTAATTGCATAACCTTGCTCCAATCACTCCCGACCCCGAGTGATTTCGGTGAAGGTTTTACTCCGCCCCGAACCCGACTTCTTTCATTTGATCCAATATGTCTTGGGAGCGTAACATCTGGATTCGACTCTTTCAAACCCTATATTCACTCATAAGTCAGGCAGAAACATCCACAAGCCAAAGCAGCCGGTGATTACTTGATTGATATAACCTACCTTCCTTCCTGCTTCGCAAACAGATACCCACTTAACTTATATCCAGCTCGACTCCGCCCATATTATATCCATACCCATACCACCGCCACAGAAACAGCCCCATGCCCATATCCATAATCTCAAGCTGAAGTACAAACCTATCCGCGCTGAAGTGAATCGAAGCCCATACCATATCCAACAAATTAGCCAAGAACGTAGCCCTAACAGTTAGCCAACCAGCCAACCAGCCAGCCACTCAAATGCTCAAAACCAGTCCCAGTCAGCACCAGCCTTCGAAATACCATGAAACCAAACAAAACCTCCCCAGCCAACCAGTACTCACCACTCGAGACAACACAAAAAACAAAAACAAAAACAAAACAAAAACCAGCGCGTGGTATCCCATAAGCTGTTACTTAAATCCTGCCATCGCACGAAAGCCACAGAATCGGGATATGATACTTAGGTTTGCAGAGCTGTCAGCTAGCTTTATCAGTGTATAAAGCTAAAGGGATAGACGTAAAGTATTGCTGTGCTGGCGCGTTAATTAACCAAGTCCTGAGAAATTTCATAAGGCTGTTTTTCTACTAAAAATTCTCAGGACTTGGACTTGATTAATGCGTGAGTCCATCAACGAGGATCCAGAAGCCGTTGAAAAACCGTTGAAGGTGATCGTACCATGCTTATAAACCGTTGAAGGCGCTCGATCCCAAACGCCACCGAAAAGCCAAACCTCCGAAAAAAACGCAGAACTTTGTAGAATCCAAGAACAAGCAGATACAAGTGCCATATATCCACACTTACAGCGCGCAGCGTGTGGTGTGATTCCCACCCAGGGATGCCTCCCTCCCTCCCTCCCTCCCTCCCTCCTTCCCTCGATCCCTAGATCCTCACTCCCTCCGCGGCCCCCGCCACGTGAGCCCCGTTTTGTTGGGCACTGCGCCGAGGAGTAGGGAGACTCATAAATAACGATATACACTCGGGCACGCTCCCCGAGCAGGCGGGCGCCCAATGAGGGGTTGTATTTTCAGATCGTTTGAAACAATTATGTATGTATCATACGTTTTTTCTAGTGGCACTGGCAGTGTTCTTTGAAGTTTGATTCGCCGCCAAGTTGACGGGGCCAAATCTCACGAAATGTCACTCGAAAAAGCCTGGTCGTGCGCGCATCTGATAAAATGACCCATGGTTCTGGTAATACGGAATTTTCTAGCAGGTAGGAGTACTAATCAAACAAGATTATCAAACAAGATTACAAGTGTTTTTATTGGCTACATTCAAGTTAATTGAGTAAGTAGACACGCGAGCAAAGCAAAAATGCAATTACCCATCCCACCCGATTCCGATTGTTCCCAACCACTGATGACCCGTGTATGCTGTAACTCCGATCGCCATGCAATGCATAAAAATTGTAATACAAAACTACCCAATCATGTTAAAGAATTTTTGTCATTGGTTGGCTGCCGTTAACTAATTGTAATTGCCTATTCCTATCCTCCAAAGTGAGCAATGTAAGTACCCGGACTGAACTAGCTGTTTTTATTTTTTATTTTTAGCGGATGACACTGTCCGGCATCCAATCAGGACGGCCTTTGATTTTGGTAGCAAGCTTCTTGCCAGGCTTCTCAAAGATCTTCCAGAACTTGAGGTTTTCATCATCCGCGCAGGCTGAAAGAAAACAGTTAGAATCACCGTGCAGCCAATTGGAGGAGGAGGAAGAAGGGAGGGTACTTACTGGCAAGGGTTTGACCATCAGGGCTGAGAGCCGAAAAGAGGATTCGGGACTCGTGTGCCGGTATCTCGCATTTACGAGTCAGATCAGGATAACTCCAGA